TGTAGCTTACTTTAGCTTACTGTAAAAGGCTACTGTAGCAGGATGTAGCTTTACTTGTGTTCCACTGGAAGACTTTTCACATCCCTCAGCACTCTGCATATCCCACAATCCAACTTTTGCGTGCTTTTCAATTGCCTTGGATTTACTAATTAACTTTTTACTGAAACTTTTTCAACCTGAAAGACCTCCAGCCCCACTTTTGATATGGTTGTGTTCCCAGTCAAACGGTACATGAAAACCAGGCCTCAATCGCTCCAGGACGGAGGCGAGAATGGGAGTCGGATGGCTGAAAAAGAGGATATTTGTCAAAGCTGAAATCATAAGTTTAGAGAACTAGATTTGTATGAACCTAACAGATACAGAGTGCGTCCTTATTACCCGGACAAAGTTGTTGCACTTTGAATCGACCATTTTGTACCATTTTTTTCCTCACTTTTTCATGTTCTATTCTTTTAAATGTTTTAGTCCAAAAACAACGTTCGGCGGACAACCTTGGACTCTTGGTGTGCCCGCAGACACAGCCTAAAGAGTATAGGACTGGTGCAAGGTCAACTTCCCGAGTTTGTTTGCGGCAAATGAATGACCGGTCAACTCCGCAGATCTCAATGTGATGAACTTCTCCATTTGGACAATTTTAGAAGACAAGGTCTGCTCTCAAATTCACATCAGTTTGAAAAGTTTAAAGAAAGCTTTGATCTGAGCATGCAACGAAATCCCACAAAGCTACATTTTGGTTGCAGTTCAGGCTTAGCCTGAACGTCTTCAAACTGTTATCAAAGCTCAAGGAGGAAATATTGAGTAATTTTTTTTAAACTTGTTTTGTATATTAAAATAAATATTTATTTAAACTAAAATGTATGTTTGCATTTGCATAGAAAACCAAACCCTGCGTAAACCCTGCATAAAAACTCTTTCGTGGTTTATATGCCTAATTTTATTTGTCCGAGTAACTATGACGCACCCTGTATGTAGTGTAAGTCTATAAGATCTGGCTTGGACCCAGTCTCGGTTGGCCTGGACTCACAGTACTCACAAAGGAAAGACAACTGGCTGAGCCGACCAAATGCTATGCGACCTATACCATCGATGAACTTGATGCTGATTCCGAATACGTATTCCATTTTTGTTAAATGACAATCTACCAGTAGCTATAAGCGTTTAAAGTTTTGTTAGAACTCTGAAAATATGGTCATTTGGGTCTTAGCGGCCTCCTTGCGACCGAATTCAGTGGTACAGCAGTCAGTGGTACAGCGTTCGTTTTCATTGCTGTGATGGGAAGATGAAAAACTTGTAGTCTAACCTCACAAGAGAAGTCATCCATCTTCTTCGGATCCATATTGAAATAGATGGCCTCAGGCGCCAAACCAGTTTTCGTTTGATACATTGCATGACAACCCTCAGCTAATCCCTAAATATCACGAGTTGGAGAATAATTGAATAGTAGACTTGAGCAATGGTGAGATGTCTGCTAGGCATTCCATGTGCAACCCAAGTGCAAAGTGTCCCAGGTAGAAAACAAGTGAGGTGATCCTGGAAAGGTTTCTAATTCTTGAAACTTCTTATACTCACCATTCTTGTGGAGAAAAATGAGCCGAAGAAGAATTTCCCGAGCGGGTGAAGTTCTCCAACGAAGGGATTTTGCTTTGGTTCACTCAAACGCAGCAATTTCTCCTCCATCGAAGACATTGCAGCTTCGTAGTCAGAAATTAGCCTAAAACTTTTATATTCTTTATTGGAATAGTTTGCCGCTTCTACCCACCAATCTAGCCTTTTCCTGTCTGGATCCACTGTTTGAGTAAATACTGTAGGAACTGTCTGAACGACCACCAAATGAGGATCAATCCCTTATCTAAAACTATTTAATTGGTGACAAATCAACGAAAACCTCTAAACTGCGCCGTGTGCACATCGATGAATTGCAGACATAGCCCTCCGTTGCATCCATTCTCGTGAATCTGCTGGCTGGCTAGGAAAGCGGCTTTCTGAAAGTCAAAAGGTCGAGTAATACTATCTTTTGGGTACTTCAACGAATTACATTGCATGATTCAACAAAATGCGACTAACTTCAAATCTTTGTCACCGGTTATTCGGCTCAACTCGCGAAACTCAAGTTGTAGCGAACCGATGGCTTGCAAGACTCATCACTGCTTCGTCATATACACTTGAGGTGGTGCTAAAGGAAAAGCGAGACTAGAATCTTTATAAGATAATCTATAGGATAAAAGACAAAAAGAAATTCTTATATTATCTAATAATTTCTTGAATAGAAGACCGATCTCGAATAAAAGATCGCCTCGAATATAGGCTTTTTTCGAAGTATCACTTGTTTTCCATTTTGCTCTAGAATTACCGTATCCGAGATCAGAAAAGTAAGCCCAAAAGTGTAGTTTTTTTCGATGTGTTAACTCTTCAAAAGAAATTTGGTGAGCTTTTACATTGACTGGCTATCAAATGGAACAAGGACTTTCACGAAAGGCGGAAACACTCAACCACCAAAAATCAGGTTTCTTCAATGGATTATAAACACTTGAGAAAGCCTGCCAAACAAGCTAATCGAGAAATCTTTAAAAATTGTGGAATATCGAATGCATAGGATGGCAGCGAAGATGATCAAATTCTTTGTTTTCGCAATGGGGAAGCTGTTAAAAATGGTCATTTTGCGATATTGCGATACTGGATATTGCGCAATTGGAAAGAAAACTAGCAAAATTCTGGTATGAATTGACTCTGTTGAGGATAAAAACAATGGTTATGAGAGAGAAAGCGATTCGATTTCGAGCTTGCAGGCGTTTGAAGGTGTTCTAGATGATTTGGCTTTTACTTGAAAACAACTACGAATTAAGTAGTGATGAAGGGTAATTTTGCAACTTACAATTTATGTGATTTGTTCCTTTCTTGTTTTCTTTCTTGGGGTTATTTTGTTACAGATTGTGGTTGATAAATTTTGCCGTTAACATGTTATAATAAATTTTATAAAGAAAGCTAAATGTTGGTTATTTCTTGCAAATTTTCTTGAATGCAAAAAAATAGAAGACTGACTGGATTCGGAGATAAACGGTAAAGAGAAATATAAAGAAATTATGAAATAAAAGAAGAAAAAGACTTGGGAATCTTCATGAAAACAATTCCAAAATTGTCAAAAGCTCTTTAGCTCAACCTACCCGCTTCCAAATTCACATTGCTCCAAAGGAATCGGCGACTTTGAGCCAGTGAATGTCTTCAACAGTCGTCTTCCAAGATCTTCAGCTTTTCTAGCAAAAATCTAAACTATTTGATCTTGATTTTGATGTCTGATCTTAATTTGAATTGGATAAGGTAAGATAAAAACAGAATCAAGCTAAACCTGATTCCCAGTAAGGTGATAACTCGAAAGAAGGCCACCCAGAAAACGAATTGTCGTCCCGAAGAGATTCGTCGAATGATCTTTTATCAAATGTTAGCGAGTTCTCAATCCATTCTGCTCCATCCCGTACTTCTAAAATTTGAGAAACTCTATCAATTTTCATTTTAGTGAAACCTTGATCAAGTCCCATGATAATTGCTGTGTCAAATGCGTCAACGAGGGTCAATCCAGCACCGATCCAAGTGGAGTAACTTTTCGAGATTGGTCTGAGCTCATCTTGACCCCAAGCATATCTAGGTGGGAATTTTTAGCTATTAGAACCTGTATTGGATCTTGAATTGAATGCTGCATTGGATCTTGAATTGAATGTAAGCTTTACGGTGAGCTAACAATGAGTAGGTAGTACTCATTGAGTAACAATGAGTAGGTAGTAAAGCCATTCTACCCACTTTTTGTAGCCTGCCCACGCGTGCTGAAATGCTTTTACAACCGCCTCTTGACGAGCATTTTTGGGGCCTAAAAGGCAAGTTGAAAGTGAAATTGAAAAGACTAGGAAACCTTCAAAGATGGGTATTTTAGCAGCGCTATTGCTCTTTTGTCCATGATCGGGTAGGTTTATCTGAATGAAGAAATATGTAGAGATTACAATTGACCTAAGCAAACCTCAGTGATCCGATGTCGATCATCAAAGCGATTCCTATATTTCATTTGGATAAACAGCACGAAAACGGCAATCAAGACGAGTAATTCATAAAGCAGTAAACGATCCTTTTACCTAAAAAGCCGACAATCGTTTTTGGAATATTTTGGAACTTTTTGAAAGTGTTTTTGAAACGCAAGAAAACCAACTTTTTCTCCTTTTCCAGAAGTGCCGCAATTTCCGTCGAACCTTTTGAAAAATTAACATCTGCGTCAGTTTTAAATCCATAGCTGGTTGCAAATGATTGCAAGATTCTTGCTAATTTTATAAGTTGTCCAATCAATTTCTAACTTTTAAGCCTTTTTCCAATCGAATTTTGATTTGAAGCCAATAAGTTAGCAATAAAGAATTCGCATTGTCGCTAGAAATACAGCAATTCCGTAAAGAAGTGAAATTTTGGCCTGAAATCAATATTGAAAGCATCTTATCTGAAATGTTCATGTGTCTCTTCTGCTTTCCCGTGTTCCCCTTTTGCTCTCGGTGATAGCGTCACACTTGAGTAAGTTTGATTTTGGAAACAAGTCTAAACATATTTTATTGCATTTATGCTGTATAACAAGTTTTTTTAATACTTTTTAATCCAAATTTGACTTTTGTACTTTCAGTGGCTTAAAATGGGTAATTTGATCTAAACAAAAAGGTTTATTTTCATAGGACAAATGACTGTTCATGGTTGATCATTTTGATGGTGGTCCCAAATCTCCTTGATGCCATTGACACTAAAAGATTGATTGCAATATTAGCTTTGAAGCTAATACCTGATAGAAATTCCCGGCCACCAGAGTCATTCGATTTTGTTGAGCGTAAATGTTGGAGTGAAACGGTCTTCGACCGGCGAGTGTAGTGCTTTGGATCTGTAAAACAAGCAGGCCTTAAACAAATCGATCAATTTAGTAATGAATTCATGAAATTTAAAGTTGGAAAGTACTGCAGCAAGCTTTTTAAGCATTTGTGTCAACCTTGGTGCCAGGATTGATTCTTCCATTTTGTTTGTAGAGAAGATAAGTGTAACGGTGAAGTCCTAAAAAGTTAAAGTGAAAAGGAAACTGACAATACTGGTAAGAAATAAGCCACATTTATGGCCAAAAAAGTTGATCCAGCTTTTCATCATCTCACCAGTCCCACGTGCCGGTCCAGATGGCAAATATCCAACCACTTCGTCTCCTTGTGACACATTTGAATTGGGGATGTTCACTACCATCCAGTGAACAAACTCGCGGGAGGTTGGGTTGGCTCTTGATGGGCCATCCGGATCTAAAGCAGTCTAAGGTCTAAGCTAGTCTAAGGATCTAAGGTCATCAGGATTCAGTCAATTGGAATATGGTTAATACCGGAGTAATAAACTAAAGTAAGGAATGACAAAGAAAAGGATTGAACAGATTGAAAAGATTCAGAGGGGATTGAACCCTCAACCTTTTTGAATTTTGAATTGAATCCTCCGGGTAAATGCTCTAACCACTGAGCTATGTGGTAGCTTTTTGCTAGAGAAGAGAAGAAAGAGGAAATACAAAGAAGAAGAGTAAGAGAAGGAAATACTCGGCTCTTCACAACCAGTTTTTAGACTCCTTTCTTTCTTGCTTACTTACTTTCTTTCTTTCTTTCTCACCTGTGAAAATGAGAGTATACAAGGCATTTGGTTCAGATGCCCAGCTGACAATTGGTTGGTAAAAAACTTGTTGTTGAGTGAGTTCGTCTCCGAAATTCATCTAAAATAAAGATTTGATTCTTCTTTAAGTTCCCACTTCACGACAACTCAGCTAAAGAATGATAAACTTTAAAAAACAAACCTGCACTCCTCCTTGATACGTGACAGTGAGTGGATTTGGTGGTGGATTGGGAATAATATCGGGAACGAGTCCATCACTCACAAAGTTTCCAAGGTTACCGGCAAAAACACTAAAGTAGAAGTTCTTAGCTTAGAAGTTGAGTTAGAAGTTAAAAGTTAAAAGTTTCCAACAGGATTTGCTATAAAAGTGTCTTAACACAAGCTTCTGGATGTCTTTTTAGTGACTCATGTTCACTGCCAAAAATTAGTGTTAAAGAAAGCTAATGTTCATTGAAAGACAGTAAGAGAGTAACTTTTTCTCAAATTTAACTTTTGAAAATGTTTTACTTGGGAGAAACCCACTGTGAGACACAACAATTTTTTCAAAACAGCACCTGGGAGATAATATGAAGAAAATGTAGGCAAAAATGTGAATTTCTATCATTTCGCTGTCAATTTGAGCTGTAATAGCCTATGCTTGTCAAAAAAATGCGCTGCTTATAAAGCCCAGCAAATATTTCTAGGGTTTGTGTCTAAATCCTTATTGAACTACTCCACCTTTTTCTTTGGAAAGACTATAGGCCACTTCAAGTGACTTTTCGACTTTCTAAGCCTTTCTCTACACATAGAAATGAGTGTGAAAAATCACAGAATACTCATTTTAAAGGAAAACTCATATTTGAAAGCAGAAACCACAAGAAAAAAAAATTGTAAGCATTGTTAAAAACCTATAATTTGTCTGCCATCGTTCAATTTTGATGTTCCGTTTTCGATGAATTGTTTCTTTCCATTTATTTCACTTACCGTATTCTCTCTAATAGTTGCCCTGAGCGTTGCCTAAATTGCTCGAAATCTCGAAAACCCCTTATCAAAACCTATTGATGTGGGATCGGAAAATGTAGCTGACAATGAGATCTTGTGGGCGATTAGAGTGTTGAGCTTCTGCGAAAATTTCGAAACCGTGAAATAGTCATCAACTCGGCTCGGCGGGGTGTGCTACTATTAGAGATTACCATTAATTAGCTAAGAATTACATTTCTAATTTTTCTTTTTATCTTTGTTTTCTATCAACTATTTAAAAATAAAGTGTTTTATCAAAGGATTGCCATCAGAAATGAATTCATTTCAGCCTGGGAGCCACGATGGGAAATGTTTCTCCTATCGTCCTATCTATCACCGTTCTTTATCTGCAAAAGGAGCTCCCAGTTCTGATAAATGCTTTGTGTTCTTTTCTGTGAACAAATACCAATAAATCGCATTTTATTCAATCTTCTGAAAACACACAACTGCACATTATCTTTTTCTTTATTTCTGAATTGCTTCTTCAAAATCTCATATAAAAAGTTTTCCCAAAAACCCAGAATTTCGCCTGAAGCTGCAAGTATTTTGCTCTCTCGTCGCTCCTGAATAGACTATTAGATAAACGTGTTGAACATCAATGAACCTCAGCATGTGGAAACTGACAATCCTTCGTGAAGGTCGCTCTTCTCGTCCCTCAATGATATAATGAGTCTCTTCTCGTCCCTTGATTTCTCTCTGATTTTTGTTCCTGGAGTTCTCAAAAATTCAATTTATGCTTTTTTTCGACTCACTGTTGGTTCTGTGGGCTGAGATTTTGGTCTCTTTTTGGGTAATCTTAACGACCAAGCAAGTAGATAATGTATGTATGTATTGTAGATATAATGAGCTGTATATGTCTTTATAGTCAAAAACCGATTGTCAAATCCCATTTTCAGACGAAATTTGTTTGAGGAGATCATTGAGCTATGTACATATCACTACATTATACTCTTTCAACAAGTTTTCCTGCAAAATGGTCGACCATAGAACTAACGGTGAGAACAAAAAGAGAGAACAAAAATCAAAGACAAATCGACGAGTTGAGGGACGAGAAGAGCTACCTTCACGAAGGATTGCCAGTTTCCTCATGCTGATGTCAATTGATGTTCAACACGTTTATCTATTCAGGAGCGACGAGAGAGCAAAATACTTGCAGCTTCGGGCGGAATTCTGGGTCTTTTGAAAAACTTTTTATATGAGATTTTGAACAAACAATTCAGAAATAAAGAAAAAGATAATGTGCAGTTGTGTGTTTTCAAAAGATTGAATAAGATGCGATTTATTGGTATTTGTCCACAGAAAAGACAAAAAAAAGCATTTTTCAGAATTGAGAGCTCCTTTTGCAGATAAAACGAGACTGAGAACGATGAGAATATGCCACCCATTTCCCCTCGAGGCTCCAAAGCTGAAATAGTTCATTTCTGATGGAAATCCTTTCGTGAAACACTCTGCATTATTTGACAAAAACTCCTAAGATTGATCAAAATGTTTTGCTCAAGTTTAATTATGCATTGGAAATTGGAATAAATATTGATGATTTCACGATGATGAAATACATCATATTGATGATGAAATCTCACCAAAGTGGGGGGGTCCGAATTTGGGTGTCCAACCCCCCAATTCATGAAATCCACCGAACTTCCATCCGTCCATTCAAAAGCATTTTCTTTGTTCGGATTGCTCTGGATAAAGAAATTTTTATGTTTAGACATTGATATTTCGATTTTTTTTTCATTTTAAAACTTTTCTAGTTTCCCAATTGAAACCATTATTTCTCTCAAAGAACTATCAGTCAAACGAATCTCTTTTTACAAGGAACCTTCCGGAAATGGCTGAAAGAATCATTAGTTTCTATATATTTATTTATGTCTTTCAATAAGAAAAACTCAACCTTCAGTCCGATCCAGAACACAGAATCCGAATTAACATTTTTCGCTGAAATAAATATAGGTTGTTCTGGCTTATAAAGCATAAATTTCTACGAAAATCATGAATTTTCAGAATTGAATTATTTCGATTTCTTACCGAGTTTCTGAACAAAATCGATCTCTTCGTGACTGTGAATTGAGACTAAATGGCTCTTTCGACTCGCACAATATGCCTCGGCTTGAGCAAATCTCATATCTTGATCGATAACCTGAAGATGAAGATAATCCTGGTTCACAACATCCACCAAACCTTGTACCAAGAAGCGGTTTTTGCCAAATACGACCATCCATCCCGATAGAGATCCAAGAAATTTATGGTTTGATTTCTGAATTTCTTCGGAAAACATTAGTCCAGATCCTTTAGAGAAATACTCAATCTATTTCCTTAAAAAAACGCATAAATCTGCCCGCAACTTGATGATTTCGGTCGTTCTATTTTCCCCTTCAAATTCTCTAGAGAGGAATTGATTGGATTGAGTGAAATGGGTGTTTTGGGAGTCAAAAAAAATGTTTTTTCACGTCGCAGTCCACAAGAGATACCAAATAAACTCACATTTGGGTTTCAGGGTCAGAGTTCTTGCTCTGCAACGCGGCGATTTTCCCTTCGAGCTCTCCAATCTTAGCTTTTACGTCTCTTGCTTCCGTATTTTGAGTTCTTCTGAAAAAAGTTCGGATTTTTACTATATATTCAGCTTGTCAAAAAGAAAATTACAAAATTAGTACAATTGTGCTTGGAGATCGTCGTTCTTCCTTTTCGTCTCGGCGATTCTCCCCATTAAATTCGCCTCGATTTGAGCCATTTTTGCTGTCGATCGACTCATCTCGACGTCTTTGTCCTTCGTTTCGTTCCGCTCTCTTGCGCTGAATACGCAAATTACTCACTACTCAAAATCCAAAAAAGATGAGCTTGAATTCTTCAAGATTTCCGATTTCCCCACATTTCCCTCTCGAGTCCGCTGATTTTTCCTCGGGCCTCGACGAGTTTTTGTTGGGTTTGATTCCTGAAAAGTCAGACACTCAAGCCTATTTATTGTTTATTCTATCGATTTCGATCTTCTCCCAAAAAACCAACAGGTTTCTTTGACAAGATCCCAAGAGAACGTTTTCCGGACAATCCTTTTTACAGCTGAAATCTAAGATCATCGAAAAATCTATTTCTGACCAACTTCAAAGCACGACGATCACGAGACAGAATCTCATCTCGATCATTCCGAGATCTGAATGATTGACAACATAGCTATTTGAAGGAAAAAGAATACGTGAATTGATCCAATTGCTCGCTTTGTTGAATGGACGATGAAATTTGATGGAAAAGGAGGAGAATCGTGATGAATAGACTGACGCCCATCACACTCATTCTGCTGAATTGGTTGATTCGTTTTGAGTTCGGGGAAATGGGAAGAACAAATGGAGGGACGATCCGATACACAATTGTTTTTTTACGGAAAAGAGCTTTTGAGAGCTCTGAAATTGTTTAGGAAAGCGATTGACTCATTAAGCCGTTGAAAGGATCGCTTCGAATAGAACTTCGTGCAAAAAAAAATTAGCATTTGAGGGAAAAGAAAGCCGTCAGTTTGCGTGAAGTTGGTTGGTGAGTGAGAAAACGCGGAGTTATCAGGAGACTACTTTCGGGGAAGGTCAACTGAACCGACCGTTCCCATCAAACCGCCACAATTGTTCCTCAATCCCCGCGGGGGAAGCTATCTATCTCCCCCGGCGTAAACAATTTTTCCTAGAGCCTTTTTGACTTCCCCAACTTCAAAATTCAAAGCTCCTCGAGGTGTCATCATTGTTGATTGTTGTTTTGGTTGTTCTATGTTTTTTAAGTTGTTTTGTTTTAAAGCAGAACATTTTTATAAAAAGCATAGCTAAACAAAGCTTCTCTCAACGGAAACTGCGATATTCTCCATTGGCCGAAAACTGAAATGACCGAAATGACTGAAGAATTGCCTGAAAAGAGTGTCAAAGGCATAGAAGAACCGGCCACCTCCTTGAAGAAAATCGCCCAGCTCGAAGCCGATTTGTGGCTTTTTCGCCAAATCTTTGCTGGTATCAAAAAAAGTCTTTAATTTAATTTTGAGTTTTCTCGAAGAACAAGTGAATATTAAAGGAAAAGGCTACTAAATAAGCAGAATTAATGAGGAAATCAGCAAAATACGGATTTCTTACCAAATAAAGAGAAGACAGGGGAATGCCCGATTCGTTTAGTCATCGCTCGTCAACCAAAAACAATCAATATTCATTTCAGCGAAAACTGAAAACGAAAACTGCGACAAAATAACAATGATTTGGGGCAAGAAATAGAATGAGAACACTCGGATTTTCTCAATAATTTACCGAAATTCAGACTACCAGGATTAGAGAACTTTTATTAGTGGCTCTTCCCCACAGTATTGCCTTTTTCAGTCATTTTCGAAATAGCAGACTCTTTGTGAAAAGTAATTCGTTTGACTGATAGTTCTTTGATAGAACCTAAAGTCGATTCTCGTTGATCTCTATTATAAAGGTCTTGATTTTTCATTCTTCAAGCCAATTCTTGAACGCTTTGGTGACATTTTCTTGATTCTTGTCGAAGTTCCATCAACATTTGATGAGCCTTAAACAAATTCGAGTCTAGGCCCCTTTTCATTAAGACATTCGTTGCAGATTTCATTGAACAGATTTCATTGAATTCAAACCAGTAGAAGAATCGGTAGAAACCTCATCGTTACAAACAACTCCACCTAGAGCTTCGGACAACTTCTTCTCAATGATTTTGTTAAGCACAATAAAGTGAGAGGAAATGGATGTCAAGAAAAAGAATTCCGTGTTTTGATAAAAAGTGATCAGAGAGTCCAGAAGGATTCGTTCTTCATTCCGTGTCTTCTAGTGATGAATCGTGATTACCAGAAACTCGAAAAGTCTTATCAGAAGATCTCCCTCAAACTTGAAAGGCACATTTCAGATTGCAGATCCATTGGGTATTTGGCTGTGTTGAGTTGCATCCAACCTATACCGAAGCGATGAACCGCTTCTGAGGCTGGTCTCGATTTCAAAAGAAGCAACGGTTGGATGCAATCATTTCTTCGTCGACAGGGTAATCTGAATATTGGTAATTTATAGAGAAAATTCGAGTGTTCTCATTCTATTTCTTGCCCCAAATCATTGTTATTTTGTCGCAGTTTTCGTTTTCAGTTTTCGCTGAAATGAATATTGATTGTTTTTGGTTGACGAGCGATGACTAAACGAATCGGGCATTCCCCTCCTTTCTCTTTATTTGGTGACAAATCCGTATTTTGCCTGGCAACAAATCTCTTGTTTGATTTTCTTATCAATTCTGCTTATTTAGTAGCCTTTTCCTTTGATTTTCACTTGTTCTTCGAGAAAATTCAAAATTAAATTAAAGACTGTTTTTGATACCAGCAAAGATTTGGCGAAAAATCCACAAATCGGCTTCGAGTTGCGCGATTTTCTTCAACGAGATGGCCGGTTCTTCTATGCGTTTGAACTTTTTTCAGGCAATTCTTCAGTCATTTCGGGCATTTCTGGAGATTTGGAACAAGAAGAGATGCTCTGAAGACATCGAGGAGGGAAAGGAAGATTCCAGAGATTCTACAACCAACCTCATCATCCTGATGCCTCGGTGTCTCAAGATTTTTGTGATCTCCTTTCTTTGTCTCGAGTTCGATTTGAGAAATTTGCTCTGAGAAAACTACTCATCATCCGAATCAACATCACTCAAGTTCAAAATCGCTCCCAATTCTCTGTCTCTGTGCTCTGTGTCCAGAGATTCTACAACCAACCTCATCATCCTGATGCCTCGGTGTCTCAAGATTTTTGTGATTTTTTTTCTTTGTCTCGAGTTCGATCTGAGAAATTTGATCTGAGAAAGCTACTCCTCATCCGAACTAACATCACTCAAGTTCAAAATCTCTCCAAATTTCCCACTCATTGCTTCTCAGTCTCAGTGCCCTCGATAAATTTCCTGATCATGATGCTGGTTCCAGGAGGCAAAGTGGGGATCTCTGGTTCGAGTCTGGTAGCTGATTGTCTTTTTTTCTTTTTATAGATTTTAATGCCCTGAGCAGTCTCCGTATAAGAGAAGTTTTGTTTAGTTGTGCTTTTTTATCAAAATGTTCTGCTTTAAAACAAAAACAAATTTAAAAACAACAAACAAAACAACAATCAACAATGATCACATCTCGAGGAGCTTTGAATTTCAGGAAAAATTGTTTACGAAAAATTGGCTCTAGGAAAAATTGTTTACGCCGGGAAGAGATAGATAGCTTCCCCCGCGGGGATTGAGGAACAATTGTGGCAATTTGATGGGAACGGTCGGTTCAGTTGACCTTCCCCGAAAGTAGTCTCCTCATAACTCCGCGTTTTCTCACTCACCAACTTCACACGAAGTGACGGCTTTCTTTTTCCCGAAATGCTACTTTTTTTGCCCGAAGTTCTGTTCGAAGCGATTCTTTCAACGGCTTAATGAGTCAATCGCTTTCCTAAACAATTTCAGAGCTCTCAAAAGCTCAAAACAATTGTTTATCGCATCGTCACCTCATTTGTTCTTCACATTTCCCTCAGAACTAATCAACCAATTCAGCGGAATGGGTGTAATCGCCGTCCGTCTATTCATCACGATTCTCCTCCTTTTCCATCAAATTTCATCGTCCATTCAACAAAGCGGTCAAGTGGATCAATTCACGTATTCTTTTCCCTTCAAATAGCTATGTTGTCAACCATTCAGACCTCCGAATGATCGAGGTGAGATTCTGTCTCGTGATCGTCGTACTTTGAAGTTGGTCAGAAATAGATTTTTCGATGATCTTAGATTTCAGCTGTAAAAAGGATTGTCCGGAAACCGTTCTCTTGGGATCTTGTCAAAGAAATCTGTTGGTTTTTTGGGAGAAGAGCGAAATTGATAGTATAAACAAGAAATAGGCTTGAGCGTCTCAATGACAAGACGTTTCAGGAATCAAACCCAACAAAAACTCGTCGAGGCCCGAGGAAAAATCAGCGGACTCGAGAGGGAAATGTGGGGGAAATCAAAAATCTTGAAGAACTCAAGCTCACCTTTTTTGGATTTTGAGTAGTGAGTAATTTGCGTATTCAGCGCAAGAGAGCGGAACGAAACGAAGGACAAAGACGTCGAGATGAGTCGATCGACAGCAAAAATGGCTCAAATCGAGGCGAATTTAATGGGGAGAATCGCCGAGATGAAAAGGAAGAACGACGATCTCGAAGCACAATTGTACTAATTTTGTAGTTTTCTTTTTTGACAAGCTCACTTATAATAAACATCCGAACTTTTTTCAGAAGAACTCAAAATACGGAAGTGAGAGACGGGAAAGCCAGGATTGGAGAGCTCGAAGGGAAAATCAACGCATTGCAGAGCAAGAACTCTGACCCGGAAACCCAAATGTGAGTCTATTTGGTATCTCTTGTGGACTGCGACTTGAGAAAACATTTTTTTTTGACTCCCAAAACACCCATTTCACCCAATCCAATCAATTCCTCTCTAGAGAATTTGAAGGGGAAAATAGAACGACCGAAATCATCAAGTTGCGGGCAGCTTTATGCGTTTAAGGAAATAGATTGAGTATTTGTCTAAAGGATCTGGACTAATGTTTTCCGAAGAAATTCAGAAATCGAACCATGAATTTCTTGGATCTGTATCGGGATGGATGGTCGTATTTGGCAAAAACCGCTTCTTGGTACAAGGTTTGGTGGATCTTGTGAACCAGGATTATCTTCATCTTCAGGTTATCGATCAAGATATGAGATTTGCTCAAGCCGAGGCATATTGTGCGAGTCGAAAGAGCCATTTAGTCTCAATTCACAGTCAGGAAGAGAACGATTTTGTTGAGAAACTTGGTAAGAAATCGAGATGATTCAATTTGGAAGATTCATGATTTTCGTAGAAATTTATGCTTTATAAGCCAAAACAACTTAGATTTATTTCAGCGAAAGCTGTTAATTCGAATTATGTGTTCTGGATCGGACTGAAGGTTGAATTTTTCTTATTGAAAGACATAAATCAATATATAGAAACTAATGAATCTTTCAGCCATTTCCGGAAGGCTCTGTGAAAAAAAATGATTCGTTTGGCTAATAGTTCCTTGATTGAAATAATGGTTTCAATTGGGTAACTAGAAGAATTTCAGGGGGAAAAAGGAAAATCGGATCAAAATATCAATCTCTAAACATAAGAATTTTTTTATTCAGAGAAATCCAAACAAAGGAGATGCTTTTGAATGGACGGATGGAAGTTCGGTGAATTTCACGAATTGGAATGAAAGACGCTCGAATTCGGACACCCACGCTTTTGTGAGATTTTCGACTTGAAATCATTAATATTTATTCCAATTCCCAATGCACAAAATTTTTCGATCAATCCGAGGAAATTTCTTTTGTGAAATAACGCAGAGTGTTTCACCAAATGATTTCCATCAGAAATGAACACATTTCAGCTTGATCGCTACGAGGGGAAATGGGTGGCATATTCTCATCCCTCTCAGCCTCGTTTTATCTGCAAAAGGAGCTCTTAATTCTGATAGATGTCTTGTGTTCTTTTCTTCGGACAAATACCAATAAATTCAATTTTATTCAATCATCTGAAAACACACAACTGTACATTATCTTTTGCTTTATTTCTGAGTTGTTTCTTCAAAATCTCATATAAAAAGTCCTCCCAAAAACCCAGAATTCCGCCTGAAGCTGCAAGTATTTTGCTCTCTCGTCGCTCCTGAATAGACTATTAGATAAACGTGTTGAACATCAATGAACCTCAGCATGTGGAAACTTACCATTCTTCGTGAAGGTCGCTCTTCTCGTCCCTCAACTCGTCGATTTGCCTTTGATTTTTGTTCTCTCTTTTTGTTCTCACTGTTAGTTCTATAGGCGGAGATTTCGGTCTCTTTTTAATCTCAATGGTGAAACAAGTAGATAATGTATGTATGTATTGTAGATATAATGAGCTGCATAGGTCCTAGCCGATGAAGGATTTCAGCCGAAGAAGTCTCAAAAATGAAATCTTGAGTTATCCTTTGCAATGCCCACAAAACGACGAACTTTGTGAAATGATCCTGGTAGACCATCAAAAACTTGAATTCTCCATCGGAAACGGATTGAGGGTCGACTAAATCCGTGTCTTTGACGAATGACGAAAAGCGGCCTTTTATGGCCTTTTATAGTTTTAGTATGATAAAATGCACACTCTTTAGAATGCGTTTTTAGCTTTTAAGCGCCTTTTAGAGAGCTTGAGTTTGTGGTGTTGACTTGAGTCAATACATAACTCAAGATTTCATTTTTGAGACTTAATCGGCTAGCCGAAGAAGTCTGAGACTTTTTCGGCTGAAATCCTTCATCGGCTACGACATATATATCTTTATAGTCAAAAGCGAATGAAAGCCCATTTTCAGACGAAATTGGTTCGACGAAATCATTTAGGTATGTACATATTAGTGATATTGTACATTATACTCTCTCAACAACTCTGTTCCATTCACAGACAAACCTGACTAATTGATTTTAACTTTTAAGATCTCTTTTCAATCCAAGCAGTCCCTATTAGTCCAAATTAACTAGAATAACGGCATAGATCGAAATCTCGGCGTCCCATGGTTGGATCGAGAGGCGATCACTTTGTTAACATTTTGCAGATTAGCTCAAGTGCCTAAAGATTAGGAACAACTCTAAATAGAGCAAAGTTTTGATGGAGATCACAAAAGAGAGAAACCCGTGTGGGTTTGAATGGGAACTTTATTATTCTGAGCAAGATCATCAATCACTTTCTTTAGAAGTCGCCATTCTTGAAGTATTCCGAATCGACGCTGTGCTCGCCGTGTTTGTGCGATTCGATTTGATATCTGCATGTTGCCAGTGGGCCAAGAACGGGGAACGCGCTCGGAACGCATTTCTACTAGTTTATCTCTGTCGTGTCAACCCACTTGAATCCGGAAGCTCGGAACTGATTTTCTCCGGCACCCACTTCGAAATGATGCTAAATGGTTTGAGTCTGATCTAGATAGATTCTCTCCCAACCTTCACAAAAACCGAGTTTTGGGGATTATCCTTCAGTGTTTGGCGAACTCTGGCTTTCATCCTCGCGCCGGGTCCTTGATTTAACTGATGTCAAAATGAGCATGTCAAGATTAATTTCACTGACCGGTCCATCTTGGGAGAAAATGTTGTGGACCTTTCCGGAGCCTCATTCGGCTCTCGGTCGAATGTGACCCATTTGATCGCCGGGACGTTTGTCCGAATACAACAGATCTCGAGTGGATCTAAATTTGATATGGTTGCTGCTACGTACAACTTATATGTATGTTTGGATCCTACGATCTCCAGACTTCCACGGGTCTCCGAACCAGCCAGCGGGCAAAGCGAACGATAGTGTGCTTTTTCCCCTGGTTAAAAGAATTCAATAAACTAAGAGTTCAATAATCAGGTGTTGAAGTAAACAAAAGCCCTGATCAGCTGGTCGGAGGATAACCTAGAGAGTTCGAGAAGGAAAGATAAAAAAGGTTGCAAAGACTTTTGCACCAACCTTATTTGTAATTTGCCTAAGAGCTGCGACTTCAGTTGCCTGCTTATAGTCGCCTGCCTATTTTGAGCCTGAGCTAGGCTACATAGCTTACTACATAGCTACATAGCTTACTTCTACATTTCTATATAGAAATTACTTTGAAACCTACACTTCTTCTTAAGACCGACGACCATCACACCCATTCTGCTGAATTGTTGGATTAGTTTTGAATTCGGGGAAATGGGAAGAACGAATGGAGGGACGATCCGATAAACAATTGTTTTTTAAAAAGAGCTTTTGAGAGCTCTGAAATTGTTTAGAAAAGCGATTGACTCATTAAGCCGTCGAATAGAACTTCGAATAAAAAAGTGGCCTTTCAGGAAAAAGAAAACCGCCAGTTCGTCTGAAATTGGTGAATGAAAAAAACGCGGAGGTTGAACAAAAATGTGGGTATTTTCATGTGTGTTCCCCAGACTTCGCAAAACTTCATTCAATGTTCTTTAATTCCGCCGGTCAGGGATCGAGAAGTTATCCAGAGATTTCTGGGTTATTTTTGCATGGTTTTCTTGGTGATGATTGGTAGCGAATACTCATCTCATTTCGGAAAGTCGTTGTAGGGAACAATCGAAGAATGGCTCGTTTGGAGGGATCGATATATCTGACCAAGACTGCTTCTTTTCGTGGGCCGAGGCCAAACGGACTGAAGATGGCAACAAAGGTGAGGGCCCAGAGTGATGACCATGCAATTGCTCGGCGAGATGAGGAGCGCCGGAAATTGCAAATATTCACAATCTGATATCAAGGAAGATTCATTCCTAATCAGTGCAGTCCTGGGTGATTCGGAGGTTGGCGATCTCAGTTATATTTTCAGATAAAAAGGGCATCCATTCTCTGCGTGGAAGATGGCAAAGAGTCATTGATAATGATGGCGAATATCTTTTGGATTGAGGTTCTGTATCAGGATTTTTATCATAAATATTGTTTATGGTTCCAACGAAAGTTCCATCTGCACCAACCTAATAATTTGCTACTTTTCTTGGTTGACTGAGTATTTAGCCCTTTTTTTGATTTCTTACGTCATTTTTGGACACATCAATTTCCTTTACGAACTCCAAATGAGAAGAGGGCTCTCCAATTCCAAATCTCGTCACCATTTTGTAGACTTCATTTGTTCTCCCATAAAGACCGCATTTCCGTATTTTTTGCTCCACGAAACAGTTTTTTGAATCAAATTTCTTAATCAACTTTTGAACTATGATGTTATTATTTGTTATTATTATTTATTATTTATTTGTTATCATGATTATTTATTTATAAGTTTTTTCGTCTTTTTAGAGTTAGAAATATTCTCTCAATTTTACCACCCTCAAAACACAAACTCTCAATTCGATTTCTTTCTAGCGTTCATTCTTTTTTGTTGATTGTTCGATGGTTCTAATGCTTTCTTTTTAGGAAATGACGGTGTTTGAATCGCTCAATTGCATTCTCTGCAAGCAACCGTGTATGTTTTTGCTTTTTAGTAATGGATTTCGAAATAATCTAGATTTTAAAGCGTAAATAAAGTGGGGTTTTGTTTTATCGCCAAGACGAGAAGAGCGACCTTCACGAAGAATTGTCAGTTTCCTCATGCTGATGTCCATTGATGTTCAACAGGTTTATCTAATAGTCTATTCAGGAGCGACGAGAGAGCAAAATATTTGCAGCTTCAGGCGGAATTCTGGGTTTTTGGAAAAACTTTTTATATGGGAATTTGAAGAAACAATTCAGAAATAAAGAAAAAGATAATGTGCAGTTGCGTGTTTTCAGAAGAATGAATAGAATGGGATTTATTGGTTTTTGAACAAAGAACACAAGACATTGATCAGAACTGAAAGTTTCTTTTGCAGATAAAACGATACTGATTGATAGGAAAATAGGCCACCCATTTCCCATCGCCGCTCCCAAGCTGAAATGAGTCAATTTCTGCTGGAAATCTTTTGATCAAACACTTTGCGTAATTTCACAAAAAGAAATTTCCTCGGATTGATCGAAATATTTTTAGATTAATTATGCATTGGAAATTGGAACAAATTTCGATGATTTCACGCTGAAAATCTCACATAAGCGTGGGTGTTCGAATCCGGCTCTCCAACCGCCCAATTCGTGAAATCCACCGAACTTCCATCCGTCCATTCAAAAGTATTTCCTTCGTTCGGATCTCTCTGAATAAAGAATTTTAATTTTTCACCGTTGATCTTTTTTCAATTCAAATTAGATTTCTATCAGTTTCTATCATTTCAGATTTCCGTCAAAGAACTATCAGTCCAAGGGATCATTTTTTCACAGAGAGCCTTCCGAAAATAGCTGAAAATTCATTACTTTCTAGCTATTTATTTATGTCTTTCAATAAGAAAAATTTAACCTTCATTCCGATCTGGTACGACCGACTCGAATCAACAGTTCCCGCTGAAATAAATTTCGGTTATTTTTGGTTTATGAGGCGTGAATTTCTACGAAAATCATGAATTTTCAGAATTGAATCATTTCGATTTCTTACCGAGAGTCCAAACAAAATCGTGCTCTTCCTGACTGTGAATGGAGACTAGATGGCTCCTTCGACTCGCACAGTGTGCCTCGGCTTTATCGAATGACATTCCTTGTTCTATCACCTTGAAATGAAGATAATCCCGGTTCACAACATCCACCAAACCTTGTACCACGAAGCGGTTTTTGCCAAATACGACCATCCATCCCGATACAGATCCAAAAAAGTCATCGTTCGATCTCTGAATTTCTTCGGAAAACATTCGTCCAGATCCTCTAGACAAATACTCAATCTATTTCCTTAAAAAACGCATAAATCTGCTCGCAACCTTTTGATTTCGGCCCTTTTTTTTTCTCTTTTAAATTGTAAAGAGGGGAGTTGATTGGATTCAGTGGAGTGGTTGTCTTGGGAATGAAAAAAACTGTTTTTTCAGGTCCCAGTCGGCAAGGGATACCAAATAAACTCACATTTGGGTTTCGAAGTCAGAGTTTTCGGTCTGCGACGCGTTGATTTTCCTTTCGAGCTCTCCAATCTTGGCTTTTCCGTCTCTTGCTTCCGTATTCTGAGTTCTTCTGAAAAAAGTTCGGATCTTAACTATATATTGAGCTTGTCAAAAAGAAGCTTTTTACAGCTGAAATCTAAGATCATCGAAAAGTCTCTTTGGCGACCAACTTCAAAGTACGACGATCACGAGACAGAATCTCATCTCGATCATTCGGAGATCTGAATGATTGACAACATAGCTATTTGGAGCGAAAAGAATACGTGAATTGATCCAATTGCTCGCTTTGTTGAATGGACGATGAAATTTGATGGAAAAGGAGGAGAATCGTGATGAATAGATGGACGGCCATCACACCCATTCCGCTGAATTGGTTGATTAGTTTTGAATTCGGGGAAGTGGGAAGAACGAATGGAGGGACGATCCGATAAACAATTGTTGTTTAAAAAGAGCTTTCGAGAGCTCTGAAATTGTTTAGGAAAGCGATTGACTCATTAAGCCGTTGAAAGGATCGCTTCGAATAGAACTTCGTGTAAAAAAAGTAGCATTTCGGTAAAAAAGAAAGCCGTCAGTTCGTGTGAAGCTGGTGAGTGAGAAAACGCGGAGTTATCAGGTGACTACTTTCGGGGAAGGTCAACTGAGCCGACCGTTCCCATCAAATCGCCACAATTGTTCCTCGATCCCCGCGGGGGAAGCTATCTATCTCCCCCCGGCGTAAACAATTTTTCCTAGGGCCTTTTTTGACTTCTTCAACTTCAAAATTCATAGCTGCTCGAGATCATTGTTGATTGTTGTTTTGGTTGTTCTATGTTTTTCAAGTGGTTTTGTGTTAAAGCAGAGCATTGTTGCAAAAAGCATAGCTAAACAAAACTTCTCTAAAACGGAAACTGCTCAAGGCATTAAGATCTATAAAAAGAAAAAAGAGAATCAGCTACCAGATTCGAACCTAAGAGCCCCCGCTTTGCCTCCCGGAACCAGCATGATCAGGAAATTTATCGAGGGCACTGGGAAGCAGAAATTTGGAGAGATTTTGAACTTGAGTGCTGTCAGTTCGGATGATGAGTAGCTTTCTCAGATCAAATTTCTCAAATCGAGCTCGAGACAAAGAAAGAAGATCACGAAAATCTTGAGACATTGAGGCATCAGGATGATGAGGTTGGTTGTAGAATCTCTGGAATCTTCCTTTCCCTCCTCGCTGTCTTCAGAGCATCTCTCCTTTTTCCAAATCTCCAGAAAAGCCCGAAATGACTGAAGAATTGGCTGAAAAAAGTGTCAAACGCATAGAAGAACCAGCCATCTCGTTGAAGAAAATCGCCCAGCTCGAAGCGGATTTGTGGATTTTTCACCAAATCTTTGCTTCTATCAAAAACAGTCTTTAATTTAATTTTGAATTTTCTCGAAGCATAAGTGAAAATTAAAGGAGAAGGTTACTAAATAAGCAGAATTGATGAGAAAATCAAACAAGAGATTTGTTGCCAGGCAAAATACGGATTTCTTACCAAATAAAGAGAAAGGAGGGGAATGCCCGATTCGTTTAGTCATCGCTCGTCAACCAAAAACAATCAATCTTCATTGCAGCGAAAACTAAAAACGAAAACTGCTACAAAACAATAATGATTTGAGGCAAGAAATGGAATGAGAACACCCGGATTTCCTCAATAATTTACCTATATTCTTGAACGCTTTGGTGGCATTTTCTTGATTCTTGTCGAAGTTCCATCAACATTTGATGAGCCTTAAACAAATTCGTGCTCTGCTTCTGCTGCTTCCCTGTTACTATCGCGGTTTTCTCTGTTTGCCTGCCATTACTTTCCCAGAAACACAAGTTAAAAATTCCCATTATTTTCCCGCCAACCTATTATTGATTAGCTAAGATTTAAATTTCTGATTTTTCTTTTTATCTTTGTTTTCTATCCACTATTTAAACATAAAACTTTATTGAGATATAATATTAGTTTGAGATATCACAGTTCAATATCACAATTCTATTTTGCCGTTTCAATGACCTTTTGATGGATGAACAGTCACGGTGATCGAATTTTTGGTCTTTACCGGCTTTTCTTTCGGTTTTCGGAGGAAAAGTGCGGTGATTAGACTGAAATGAGAAAATTTCTACTACAAGTTTCTAACATCCCAGTTGAGAAATAGATTCGAAACGTTTCCAACGAAATAGAAACCAATAGTGTAAGTGAAAGTAACCAGAGAACTGATGATCATCTAAAGATCATGATGATCAAGAGAAGTAAAGTCTTCACCAACTTGTGTCATCAACAAGATTTCTGCTCGGCTGGCGTGGCCGCTGTGTTTTAGCTAAAAGTGCTTTGAATCAAAAATTGCATTGCCAGTTTTCTGGTGCAGTTGGCTTGGTTTTGCCTCAATCGTGCCTGTCTATGATCTTGATTGCTTTCCTATTCCAACCTGGCCTCAGCCTGCCTGGCATTGATTGCAAAGATGTTCTAGCCGGGTTCTAAAACCCACATCCTGACCTTATTGCAGGCCCTACAAAGATTTCTGAGTTTCCAGGAACTGACTTCTGGCAAGTTTAGCATTGCTTGGTCTAGTTTAGCTTCCTGTCAGCCTCCTTAGCACGAGGAGGCAAAGATGAGCAGATGGCTTTCTGTAAGTTTTGGGTTTTTGAGTTTGGGTTTTGAGACTCTTCAAATCACTCACTCATGGACTACCGGGTCCTTCTTGTATCGAGTTGTATCCTTCTTTGCCAGTGTATTTTGATCTAGAAAGCAATGAACTACTATTTCTTGTTGTCTGTTTGACACTACACATATTGATCGTGATTCTGTCGATATCCAGGATCGCTGTGCCGTTGCTGTGCCGTCTTGGTTGGACGTTGATCGGCGTCTTGTACTCACTCAACATTCTCAGATTGGCTTTTATAGGCATTAAGACACTAACTGCCGATGATAAATTCCCTTATCCGGAATGGGCAATTGGAAGGGTTTTGGCTGACTGAAATTGGGTGTTTTGAGTGACTTCAATTGACTAAACACCTGGGCTCTCTTTCGAGTCTTGGAACTTTGGCCGGACGATTCACCCTACCTCGCGGCACACTGATTCCGTCACCGCCACTGAAAAATCTCTTATTGGGAGCCCAATATATGTAACTCTAGGTCTACCGTAATCCCTCAACGAGATGGGAAAAGGCCAGTAGACAGAGAGTCTGGAATTCGGTTTTAGTTACAGGATTCATTACAGGATTCTAGTAGGGTTCGGGCCAAAGTCTGCACTCTACAGGACTAGAAAAACGTTTCAGTTGAAGCTGCCTCTTTTCAATTTCATTTCAGAGTCGCGTCTTTGGCAATTTCATCTACGCGGCAAATGGTGAATTGAATGATTTACCACCGCCTTCAGAGCCAACAGTGCGTCGAAAAAAAGCATCAATCGAACTATTGAGAACTTCAGGAACAAAAACCAAAGATAAATCGACGAGTTGAGGGACGAGAAGAGCGACCTTCACGAAGAATTGTCAGTTTCCCCATGCTGATGTCCATTCATGTTCAGACGTTTATCTAATAGTCTATTCAGGAGCGACGAGAGAGCAAAATACTTGCAGCTTCAGGCGGTATTCTGGGCTTTTGGCAAAACGTTTTATAAGAGATTTTGAAGAAACAATTCAGAAATAAAGAAAAAGATAATGTGAAGTTTTGTTTTTTTAGATGATTCAATAAAATGGGATTTATTGGTATTTGTCCACATAAAGGAAAGGAACATAAAGCATTTCTCAGAATTGAGAGCTCGTTTTGCAGATAAAAAGTATCTGATAGGTAGGAGGCCAGACCCCCCATTTCCCATCGTGGCTCCCAAGCTGAAACGTATTCATTTCTGATGGAAATCCTTTGATAAAACATCAGAGCTATTTCACAGAAAGAAATCTCCTAAGGTTGATCCAAATATTTTGCATAGGAAATTGGAATAAATATTGATGATTTCACTTTGAAAATCTCACAAAAGCGTGGGTGTCCGAACCCGGGTGTCCCGATCTTTCATCCCAATTCGTGAAATCCACCGAACTTCCATCCGTCCATTCCAAAGCATTTCCTTTGTTCGGATTTCTCTGAATAAAGAAATTTTTATGTTTCAATGTTGATGTGCAATCAAAGATTTTTCCATTTGAAAACTATGCTAGTTTTTCAATCAGGTTTCTATTCTATTCAAATCAGGTTTCTATCAGTCTCTATCATTTCAGATTTCCATCAAGGAACTATCAGTCAAACGAATCTTTTTTCACAAAAAGCCTTTCTAAAATGCCTGAAAGAATGATTACTTTCTTTTTATTCATTACTTTCAATGAGTAAAATTCAACCTTCAGTCCGATCCAGAACGACCATCCATCATCCAGATCAACATTTTCTGCTCAAATAAATATCGGTTGTTTTTGGTTTATAAAGCAGTAATCTCCACGAAAATCATGAATTTTCAGAATTGAATCATTTCGATTTCTTACCGAGTCTCAAAACAAAATCGTGCTCTTCCTGACTGTGAATTGAGACTAAATGGCTCTTTCGACTCACACAATATGCCTCGGCTTCATCAAATGTCATTTCTTTCTTGAAGGCCTTGAGATGAAGATAATCCTGGTTCACAACATGCACCAAACCTTGTACCAAGAAGCAGTTTTTGCCAAATACGACCATCGATCCCGATACAGATCCAAGAGATTTATGGTTCGATTTCTGAATTTCTTTGGAAAACATTAGTCCAGATTCTTTAGACAAATACCCTATCCCTTTCCTTAAAAAAACTCACAAATCTGCCTGCAACTTCACCATTTCGGCCGTTTTGTTTTCCCTTTCAAATTTTCTAGAGAGGAATTGATTGGAATGGATGTTTTGGGAATGAAAAAACTGTTTTCTTAAGTCTCAAGTCTCTACTTAGTGCCTTTCTAGTTCCTATTTAGTTCCTTTAAAGTTCCTTTACAATTGTGCTTCGAGATCGTCGTTCTTCCTTTTCAGCTCGGCGACTTTCCTTTCCAAATCTCGATTGCTCTCCCTTCCATCAACCAAACCAGAGTCCAACTTTGCGTTTTTCCCCATTAAGTTCGCCTCGATTTGAGCCATTTTTGCTGTCAATCGACTCATCTCGACGTCTTTTTCCTTCGTTTCGTTTCGCTTTCTTGCGCTGAATTACTCAAATTACTCACTACTTAAAAATACAAAAAAGATGAGCTTGAATTCTTCAAGTTTTCTTGATTTCACTCACATTTCCCTCTCGAGTCCGCTGATTTTTCCCCGGGCCTCGACGAGTTCTTGTTGGGTTTGATTCCTGAAAAGTCTTGTCATTGGGACACTCAAGTCTATTTCTTGTTCATTCTATCAAATTCGCTCTATTGATTGGCTTGGTTGAAAACATAGCTATTTGAAGGGAAAAGAATACGTGAATTGATCCAATTGCTCGCTTTGTTGAATGGACGAAGAAATTTGATGGAAAAGGAGGAGAATCGTGATGAATAGACCCAAGGCCATCACACCCATTCCGCTGAATTGGTTGATTCGTTTTGAATACGGGGAATGGGAAGAACGAATGAGGCGACGATGCTATCAACAATTATTTTTTCGCGGAAAAGAGCCTTTAAAAGCGCCGAAATTGTTTAGAAAAGCGATCGTCTTCCAACTGACGATTGACTCATTAAGCCGTTGAAAGAATCGCTTCGAATAGAAATTCGTGCAAAAAAGTAGCATTGCAGGAAAAAGAAAACCGTCAATTCGTGATGAATAAATCAGGAGACTACTTTCTGGGAAGGTCAACTGAATGTGCTGCCCAAATCACATGAGCAACTGAATGTGCTGCCCAAATCACATGAGCAATGAATGTGCTGCCCAAATAGACGATTCGACACAGAGTTTCACACTGATCATGATGCTTTTTTTTGGCTACACTCTTTCAAAAGTCATCTGCGTTTAAAGTTTTGTCCCGAAAAAAAAAAAACAAAAAATAAACCCCCCCCCCCCCCCAATTCACATTTCCCCGGGGGAAAGGGGGGGGGGAAAAAAAAAAAAAAGGGGGGGCCTTCAGGTTTCAATCCCAAAAAAAAAACCCCTTTCCCCCCCCTTGGGTTTTAAAATTTTAAAAAAAAAAAAAAACCCGACGGTTCCCATCAAATCGCCACAATTGTTCCTCAATCCCCGCGGCGAGGCTATCTTTCTCCCCCACGGCGTAAACAATTTTTCACTTTCTAATTCAAATTTTAGAGCCTTTATGACTTCTCTAACTACAAAGTTCAAAGCTCCTCGAGGTGTGATCATTGTTGATTGTTGTTTTGGTTGTTCTATGTTTTTAAGTTGTTTTGTTTTAAAGCAGAACAAAAAGCATAACTAAATAAAGCTCCTCTAAAACGGGGACTGCTCAAGGCATTAAAATCTATGAAAAGAAAAAAGACAATCAGCTACCAGACTCGAACCTGAGAGCCCCGCTTTGCCTCCTGGAATCAGAATCATGATCAGGAAATTTATCGAGGGCACTAAGACTGAGAAGCAATGAGTGAGAAATTTGGAGAGATTTTGAACTTGAATGATGTTAGTTCGGATGAGGAGTAGCTTTCTCAGATCAAATTTCTCAAATCGAACCCGAGACAAAGAAAGAAGATCACAAAAATCTTGAGACACCGAGGCATCAGGATGATGAGGTTGTAGAATCTCTGGAATCTTCCTTTCCTCCTCGGTCTGAGCATCTCTCCTTTTGCCAAAACTCCAGAAATGCCCGAAATGACTGAAGAATTGCCTGAAAAGAGTGTCAAACGCATAGAAGAACCGGCCATCTCGTTGAAGAAAATCGCCCAGCTCGAAGCGGATTTGTGGATTTTTCGCCAAATCTTTGCTGCTATCCAAAAAAGTCTTTAATTTCATTTAGAATTTTCTCGAAGAACAAGTGAAAATTAAAGGAAAAGGCTACTAAATAAGCAGAATTGATGAGAAAATCAAACAAGAGATTTGTTGCCAAGCAAAATACGGATTTCTTACCAAATACAGGGTGACCAGAAATAACGTTGCGGCCTAATTTAGCCTATTTTTTAAAAATCCAAAAAGGTTTTGTAACAGAAACAATTTTTTTGTTTTTTTATTAACCACATGATATAAAGAGAGCATAAAATCTACTTTTCTTCAAAGTGGCCACCTTTGGCTCCGATGCAGAGCCTCAAACGCTTGATGAAAGTTTTGGCGATGGGCCGCAGCTCGGCCGGAGTGATTGGATCCCATTCCCTGGTCAACGATCGCTGAAGAGCCTCGAAACTTTTGTGGGGTTTTGCACAAGCCCTTGCCTTCAAAATTGAGCAAACACTGTAGTCCAACGGGTTGAGATCGCACGAATACGGAGGCCATTCCTGGGCCGAGATGAAATCCGGAAAGTTTGTCCTACGCCAGTCCTGTGTGGATTTGGCTCGATGAGAAGGAGCGAAGTCTTGTTGGAAGATCCAAAATCCGTTACCAAAATGCTGTTGAGCCCATGGAAGCAAAATATTCTGAAGAATCTTTTTTGGTACGCATCCTTATTGATTTTTACCCCAGAATCGATGAAAATGAGAGGAGTTTTGCTGGTTGCGCAGATTCCGGCCCATACCATGACCGATTTGGAATTTTGTCGGTGTTGAACAATCGCAGAGCTGCCTGGAGAGGCCGTTGACCAAACCGATCGTTTTGGTGGTTGTAGCTTTGCTCCACCGAGAAGAGCTTCTCGTCAGAAAACAGGATTGGTTCCCAGTGTGGAGTTGCGACCCGCTTGAGAAGCTCTGGACATCTTTCGAGTCGAACTCGTTTGTTCTCGTCGTCGCGTTGTTGCCCTTGCTTGAGCTTATAAGGGTGAAGATTGAGCTCATTTTTGGCTATAAGTCGAACCGATTCGCAAGCGATTCCCGTCTGTCGAGCGATCTTTCTCATTGAGACCTGTGGATTCCGGGCCACGCACTTCTGAATCACTTTGCGATTTCAGGAGGTCTTGACTGGTCTTTTTCCGTCTCTTCCTGGATGATCTTCATCGTTACCAAGCTCCTTATATAGCCTGATCGCTTTTGAGACGAGCTGATGAGAAACACGTAGCAATCGCGCGATCGCACTCACACATTGACCTTGACGATGATGCTCCAGAATGGTAGATCCCTTGTTTGTCATCCTATAAAAAATGAATAGACTTGAAACAAAGTAAAGCAACAAAGAAACTAATAAAAACAATCACAGGGAATCGGTTAAAAATAAATTTGTCTCCCAAACTTGAAACTTTGAGGAATTTAGGCTGCCGAAGATCCCGCAACGTTATTTCTGGTCACCCTGTAAAGAGAAAGGAGGGGAATGCCCGATTTGTTTAATCATCATTCGTCAACCAAAAACAATCAATATATATCAATATTCATTTCAGCGAAAACCGAAAACGAAAACTGCGACAAAATAACAATGATTTGGGGCAAGAAATAGAATGAGGACGCACGGATTTCCTCAAGAATTGATCAATCATTTAGACTACCAGGATTCAAAGAACTTATTTTGGTGGCTATTCCCCACAGTAATGCCTTTTTCCGTCATTTTCGAAATAGCAGACTCTTTGTGAAAAGTAATTCGTTTGACAGATAGTTCTTTGATGGAAACTAAAGTCGAAACTAAGCAGTGGATATTCAATTCGATTAAGATTACAAAAGAACTGCCAGAATTTGGAATCGACTCCCCAGAGTTTTGAGAGAGTCCAATAGTCTCGAAACCCTTAAATTATCTGTAGATGATCTTGATCTTGAAGCTCTAGTGGATCCTTGACGTTATCTGTGCTACCCACATTTTACATATATTATACCGTGTTTCTTTTTATCGGCCCTTTTCGTGTTATGTGTATGAATTCATGTGTTTTAATCTTAAATCTAGCGCACTTTATCTCAGGTCCTGAATAAAGTATCTATATATATATATATGTTACGTCCGAATCCGACCAGGCGTCCGGATCTGATCCGGACGTCCGAATCCGGCCGTTGATTATCTTGTGGTCGGTTTCGGACCTCCTAATCCGACCACAATCCGATAAATGCCAATTAACCAACTTTTAATGCTAATTAAGCAAATTTATTAAACATAATTACTGAAGGGATATTCCTCTAATCGACGGACACCTTGTAAGGCACTTACACAATTGTTGCGCCTTGGTTAGCCTTTATCAAAAACTAGTTTTTTTAAAAAGATTGATTGACATAAACTCATTTTTATCTGCAATACAACCATTAACAACATTAATAAAATTAGTTAGCAACTGTCTGAATTTCAAGATACAACAAACAAACTAAATGAAAAACAAAGCCAAACAACAATCAACTTAAACAAAACCTCTTTTTACTACGCACATAATGCATGTTACTGAAAGCGTCATTCTGAAATTGAAAAGAGTCAAAACAAGAAACAAAAAGATCACTTTTTAGTACAACTTCTTGCATGGTGGCATCTCGAGTTGCAAAGTAGACTCTTCTTTCGACAAGCACATCGATTGGTCGTACATCCGCTCAGACACAAGCAATGAGCGTGACCTAAAATTATAATATTTTAGCTGAGGTAAAAACATTTAAATTTGTAAGAAAAAGGAAAAAGAAAAAAGAAAGATTAACAAGAAAGATTATAAGTGCAAATAAATGTGCTTACCTTGGCTCCCAGAGATCATATGAGATTTTGAACAAACAATTCAGAAATAAAGGGAAAGATAATGTGCATTTGTGCGTTCTCAGAAGATGGAATAAAATCAGATTTATTGGTATTTGTCAATAGAAAGGACACCAAGCCTTTCTCAGAATTGAGAGCTCCTTTTGCAGATAAAGCGCCCCTGAATGGTAGGAGAATCAGAGAACCATGTCCCAGTGTTGGTCCAAAGCTGAAATTTATTCATTTCTGATGGAAATCCTTTGATAAAACACTTTGCGTTATTTCACAAAAAGAAATTTCCTCAGATTGATCGAAACATTTTGGGATTATTATGCATTGGAAATTGGAATAAATATTAATGATTTCACGTTGAAAATCTCACCAAAGCGTGGGTGTCCGAACCCGAGTGTCCCGATCTCCAATTCGTGAAATCCACCGAACTTCCATCCGTCCATTCAAAAGCATTTCCTTTGTTCGGATTTCTCTGAATAAAGAAATTTTTATTTTTCACTGTTGATATTTCAACCAAATTTTTTCCATTTTAGAAATATTCTGGTTTCTCAATTCAAACCATTATTTCTATCAAAGAACTATCAGTGAAACGAATCATTTTCACAAAGTGCCTTCCGACCACGGCTGAAAGAATTATTACTTTTTATTATCGTTATCGCTATTAGCTATACAATTATTACTTTTACGCTTTCTATTACTTTCCATATTACACGAGCCTGGCCCGACCCAATCCTCATTCCCTTGTAAAATTTTAGTAACTGAACTAAGAGTTTAAGAACTAGCAAGTGAATGGCTAGAAATGGAAGTGATCGTTTGGGATCAGTGATACATCATTCGATAGATCTCATAGAAAAGTCCAA